CCCTGACCAGCGCCTCCACTGGCTGAGCAGCCCACAGGTAGGGGCTGTGTGGATGCTGCGTCAGTTAGGACTCTATGGAGAACAGCAGTAAGGGCTGCATCGTGCCGTCAGTGCCCTCTGCCTCTGTGGGGCCTGCACCTGCGGACTCAGCCAGCTGCAGGTCACAGGTATGGTTAGCGGCCGATGGCTGCATCTGCAGCCCACACAGGCCAGTCCTGTTGGTGACAAGAAGAGGAACTGTAAGAAATTAGCTCATTGCAGAGGTGGGAAAGTCTGAGGATCTTCAGGGTAGCTTCGCAAGAGAGCTGATGGGCAGCCTCTGTCCAAAGGCCTGTGGGCTTAAGACCCAGAAGAGCTGGGTAACAGCAGGGTCCTGGTGTGCAGTGCTTAGGCAGGAAGGGCTCGCTCGTGTAAGGGACAGTCGGCCCTGTGGTTCATTCAGCCTTCAGCTGACTGGGTGAGGCCTGTGTGGAGACACCTGTTTTGTCTGCTGACTTAAACACTAATCTTGTGCCAAAGCATCTTCATGGACAGACACATAAAAAAACATTTGGCACCCCTCAGCCTGGCCAAGGTGACACACAGGAGCCAGTCAGATGCCCTTGGCTCTGTGGGGTCCACCCAACAGCCCTCCAGGAGGTGGAGTATTGTGGTCCCAAGAGGAGCTGGTGGCCAGCAGTGACAGCACTGAAGCTTCCCAATGTGTGGTCATGGGCTGTGCTCTCGGTGGGTTCTTGCAATAAACTGTCTACCAAGGAGCAGTCTGGCCAAAAAAAAAATGCCTCTCAAGAGGCAAGTGCCTTCTGGGCCCTGCTTCTAGATGTGAGGACCCCAAGGCTTATGGGAGTTTGGTACCTTCAGGGTCAGCTGAGTCATAGGTAGTGGGGTGGTAGGATGGGAACGTGGGCAGTTGTGTCTCCCCTTCTTGGCTCAGGAGGACAGAGTAGCCTGGACATTGGCCACCCTGGAGGCCACCCTGCCTCACAGCATTTCAGATCTCCAGGAGCAAGTCCCACACAGCTACCTGGATTTCCACAGGGCTGGTGTACCAGGCACTTCTGGTGTGCCAGGCACTTCCGGTGTACCAGGCACTTCCGGTGTGCGAGGCACTGCTTCACACTGGCAACCATGTTCTTACAGTGGGGGACACTGAGGCACAGATGGGTAAAATCACTTCCCCAAGGGGGCTCCAAAGTGTCAGCTCTAGCCAGCAGGTGGTACTGCCCTTCAATGAGCAGCTGCTCGTGGTGCAGAGCACACGTCTGGCTGACACCTTCATTTCTCCCCAGTGCAGCGCTATCCCCTGCCAGGATTCATGTGCCAAGGTCCTGCACCTCTGGAGTCCTCCCTGTTGTCCGCTACCCTGCGTCCAGCACTCTCCTTCCCTGGGCTGGGAAGTTGTGCTCCATCTGCTTTCTCTGGAGCTGGCACTGCTGACCTGTCCAACAGTATTCCTGGGTCTCCTTCAGTCCCATGCTCCTCCCTAAGGCTGGTCCACCACCCTCCTGTGTCACTCTCACTACCACTTATCTGTCCTCCCTCACAGAGCACATCGAGGCCGACACGGTCACTGAGCACAGCTCAGCTTGGGCAGCCATCAGGGGCCCTGCAGGCTTCAGTCATCTCAAACATCGTGCTGATGAAGGGCCAGGCCAAGGTAGGCAAGGGCCACTGCTAGTGGAGCCAGGGAAGTACCATGGGAAGGGCCGGGCCAGAGCCACTCCCACTTCAGCAGGTTGTTGGGGGGGAACTA